CGTCAGGTTCGTGTTTGATGTTGTCAAAGTCTAAGAAATGTGCACCGCTATTCTGAAAACCGAAGTGCTGTCTAATCAGTTGCCAAATTGCTGCGAGAGAGGTGGCACCCTTTGTTATTGAGTTCCGTGAAATTATTGGGCAATAATTAGCCACCTGACCTAGCACTGTCTCTTATACACATCTAGATGTGTATAAGAGACGTTGGGCTTTAGGCAGGTCGGGACCGTCGTCAGTAAAGCCCCTGTGAGGATGGGCACGGCTTTTCTTCCGCCATGTGTCCTCCAGAAAGGGTGTAAAATTTGAGTCTAAAGACAAGGTATATATCAGCTTATTTCGCCAACTTTCAAATGATGTAACTGTTTCATGGCGTCCCAAACTCCATTGTCTTGGAGCCCGACTATTCATGGTGAATCGACGTATAGCTCTCCGGCGTAGGCAGTACTACTACGAGAGTTACGAGAGAAGCTAGCGTTATCAAGCTGATCGGGAAAACAGTCGTGCTTCCCGCAAACAGTTACTCACCAAGTCTGTGAAAACTGGCCTAGCACGGAGGGTGGATAAACGATGCCTCACGCAAATAAAACGACTGTAGTGGGTTCAAAATACGCTGTCACCACGCCAGTATTGGGTGAAGAAGGTATCCACACACAGTAATCACACGATAGACTAAGATGTAAAACTTTAAACAAACTTTTAATAACAAAACAATCTCTCGGATGTAAGTCGGTACGACAACATGAGTGGGACGCCCAACAGGCGTAAAACAAACCACAAAACATATGGTGCGCTTGTAGTGTAGTGCTATGGTACTACTTGGGATATGTGCCGTTCATGCACGTGCGTACGCGCGGAGGAATAGGATTAAATTAGTTATGTTGAAGACGACATGGCGTGTGTGCATCGTTGTTGATTGTCCATATAAACAACACTAAATCTGGCGACGAGAGATAGCTAGAAGGAGGGATAATGGCGAAAGTAAATATCCCTTGTGTCGCTGCATTTGACAATGTTGTCGCTGAGTCTTTGGACACGTCTGTAGGTCCAAAATGGGAAGCGTGGATTAAGCGTTTCGAGAATTATGTCTTAGCCCTGTCCCTGTCTCTTATACACATCTAGATGTGGATAAGAGACAGGGGTAGAGGTCCTGGGGTGAAGGTCAATTGAAGATCTGCAGAAAGACATTTTGAAACGGCATGTTGCATGGTCTCTTAGGTGCTATACGGCCAAATACATTGTTGTCTCTTAGTCCGCTCATTAATTGCTGCATGAGCATTCTTTCCCTGTCATACATGAGACCTCGTCCCACTTTCTCTTCTACTTCTCGCAACACGGCATCTAGTTCGATGGCATAAAAACTTGCCAACTCACCCGGTTTCTGGGTTCTTTTGGTAGAAGTCCGCTAATGGATCGCCGCTGGTCATGTTTCAAAATTGTTCCTTTAATTCTGCGAATGCTCGTTAGGGTGTTTGACATGGTATCAGGATGTTAAGCACTAGTTTCCTGGCGGTCCTGCCAAGATTTCTAAAGATTGTAGAAAATTGCATGTTGTTGTGGCATGTTACTGCAGCTTAATATGTGTTGCACATCCCTAATCCAATCATCTATTGATATTGTCGACGATTGTCCAGTGAATATCGGTACACCCTTCAGTTGGTGTGCCGGGGTATATATGTGCACAGAGTGTAACCGGTATGTACATTGTTCGGGACGATGTAGGCCTATGTTGATGGCCTTTCTAACGGTAGGGTTGCTGTTGGCGGTTCATATTGGGTTACCGGCCTTCATTAATAATTATTCCAGAAAAGATAAATGTTCAACAACGTGATTGAGCCTTTATGATCGGTAGACTTACTTCTCAACCACGGTACATTATGCAGTAGTTATATCCAGTGTCAAAACTCCATGATAAAACTAACGACGAGACTACGATACGATTACTTGCTCACTCCAGTGAAGGGATTACAACAGAACTGTAATACAAATGTATTAAAAATGGATACCATAACATAAAGCAATTTAACATTGTCTCTCCTTTAGTTGTTTTCAGGCTAATTACGTTCACATAAACCACTGAATAAATACGTACAATTTCACCCATTTCATTATTACAATATTTCATGATTTCAAAAGTCTACTCACGGGTTCAAAATATATACAATTATGTGGGTGACTGGACAGATTAATACCTCGGCATGTTAATATTACTCGTAAACCACGATGTAGCGTATAACACCAATCTACAAGGGAACAACGTTGCTGTCTACCAGGTTGCATCACACAACACCATTCCGCATTGGCTAACATATACCTTTCTACACTCACGGTGCCGATCCGCCGGGTTTATAGATATTTCTGTCCAGTGACCAACCTAACCGTACTTGCTATACAACAAAACTCGCACCACCCTCGTTTGCATAGATTAAAGGCAGCCTTACGTCGCCGAGCTATTGTTATAAGATAAGGACAGGTGTATCTCTAAGACGTCCTTGATTATGCACACGTCACGCTCTAGTTACAGCACTGGACTGCCTAGCAACAACCGTTACGAATTACACGTCTTGCCATCAATGTTTGGACCAGATCTACGTTCTCCAAAAAACAAAAACAAAAACAAAAAAAAAATTGAAAAAACACAGGAATCCGTTCTGCATTACGACGTGGCGCAATTGAAAGATCTACTATAGCATGAAGTTCATTTAATTTGAGTGATTGTTTGTCATTTTACTTTACTTATACATCCTACATGACAAGTTTAAGAGTCGTAAGAAACGTATGAAACGTAAGAAATTCTGACCTTTACGTCGACAGGAAACCAGGCTTAACGTGCAACCACGTCAATTATTCGTTCGTTCTTGGGTCCTCAGTTTATTGAATTGTATTTTTATTTATTTAGTCTTGAAGTACACTCTGCATTGAAGATGAAATTAATTACATTAATTACATTACAACCATATACATTATGTTTCCCTTCATAGACTAAATTTATAAGTATAAAGATGGATATTTTTTAATCTTGAGAACAAATCCAAGAGTCAAACTACCAAAAATTTACTGTAGGCTACAGCTCACTATTTGTGTTCTAAATCGCTTATTTTCGCTTAATAATTATATTGTCTGCTCTTTTTCGTTTTCAAGGTATTTGCATTATAACAAAATAACAAGTCTGAAAAAGGGTGTATTCAGTGGTTTAATATTCGTTTTTTGAAAATTACGATGTCGTGTCTGACTAACCAAATGTAGAATTTCTTTGTAGGCCTTACATATTATAAATCAATTACAAACCACTGCCTAAACTCACGTATTATCGACAATACACCAATTGAGTTATCGATCACAAATTATATAGACTACAAAATTAATAAGTTAATATACATTGTGATTTGATCACATGACGAGTATTAATTACTGAGTATGAAAATCATACCAATTACTGGTTTTATGACAATCGATTCCATATCAAGAATCTATTACTTTACAAACAATTACTTTTACACATAATAAATAATAATTCACACTTATTTCACATAAAAATTTAAAAATTGCCTTAAAAGTTAAAAAAAATATCAAAACGGAGACAGCAATAACAGTAAAAAAAAGACATAACAGTTACACAAAGCACAAAACAAGAAACAAGAGAATCTCCTCGGAGGTATTTTATTACACAATTTCTTTATTCATTTATTTATAGGACTACATTCGTTGAGAGCTCCTAAGCTACAGGATGTATTATTATGTCTTTATTCGAACACTGTAGGCCCTATTTACCTTTCTTTGATATTTATATAGGCATATATATATAATGAATAAATGTAGTTGGCAATATAATATATTAACGTTAATTAACCTTAGTAGAATAGTGCACTTTGAGTAATACCATCATTATCGTTGAGCTCTTGCACATTGTATTCTGCCGTGATAGGCGCACTATTTAAATTCATGTTCATTGATTGATTGATTGATTGATTGATTATTCTTAGCTTATTTTATCCTATGTTTAAGAATTATAGTACTAAGTCAATTTGTGAAGGTAAAACAACAGTCAGTAGATAAACTTGAAACTTGACACTTACGATGTTTGCCAAATGGCCAATTTAACAGTTTTTAACCACTACATTGGGGACAACTTCACATTTTCGGTTAGTGCCTCTTAAATTAGGGTTCCCCTATTCAAGGGACACACGTATTTCGTCCCAAAAGTGTTCCCTGCTAAGGATTCTACAGTACAAATAAAATCAATAGATTACGGATTCAAAAGTTAATCAGTAATTCACAGTATAATAAAACAAACACTAAATACATAAGACAAATTGTAAACGTTGTTCACTTATATAAATACAGTCAACAAATAACGTCATTGGACGTTTTCTTGTTCATAGCAACCAACAGGATTGTTTAGTTGTATTAAGGACGGGACTCCTCTTCATAGAATTTAGTGTCCATTACGACAGTGGCAGAGCCTTTATCAGCTGGTTTGATGATAATATCATCACGCTGACGCAAATTGGCGATGGCCTGCCTCTCATTTTTTGTGAGATTGTCGCGGAAATCTGGACCAGGAGTGTGGTTTTTAACGTCCTCCTCAATGGCCTGAATGAAAGTTTCTAAAGCTGGGCAACGATTCTTAAGGGGATTCCAGGTACTTTTAGGTTTGAATTTGGTAACATTGCCCGTGTTATCCGTGGTGTTGCCATCGGAATCGGCGAAAAATTCACGGCATCTTAAACGTCAAAAGAAAGCTTCTAGATCCAAAGATAGTTGTTGTGGGTCAGCCTGCCTCGGTTTTGGGCAAAATTTTGAGTCCTCGGGATAGAAGTTTGGTTTCTCCTTCGGAAAGCTGACGGTTAATTTGAACAACTGAATCCGTGGATTATCACTAAAGCGCCGAATGAACCTTCTAGGTTTACGTGAAAGCCAAACATTGTAAGATCCAATTTATTTAATTTCACTTTTATTTTTCTTTTTCGAAGGTATCTAGGCGATAACGGAATAACTAAGTTAACGCAAGGTGCCTTCGATGGTTTGGAAAGTCTTCAATCTTTGTAAGTAACAATCCACAAGTTGTGAACATAATGATATAAGTTCTGTGTTACTTCATCACTCATGCGTAAAGTATACTAAATTATGGGACTTTCGGTTGCACGAAGGCGGGTAGAGGATCTAGAACGCCTCACATAAAGTTATCGGTATTAGCATGTACTGCTAATCCCTATGAACGACCTATGAAAGAGATATGCTGTGAAGGGAGGTAACCTTATAGTAGGGATACCCCTATCAGTATTAACATAACGGGGACACTTCTGAGTGTGCTAAATGGCTAATTTAACAGTTTTTAACCACTAAATTGGGGACAGTTTCACATTTTCGGTTAGTGCCTCTTAAATTGGGATTCCCCTATTCAAGCAACACACTTATTTGGTCCCAAAGGTGTTCCCTTGTAAGGATTCTACAGTACAAATAAAATCAATAGATTACGGATTCAAAAGTCAACCAGTAATTCACAGTATAATGAAACCCACACTAAATACATATGTAAACGTTGTTCACTTATATAACAGTCAATATATAACGTCCTTGGACGTTTTCTTGATGACAGTAACCAAAATTTCTAAAGCAATAGCAATCGTAAAAAATAGCTCCGTGATTGCGATCAAGTCATTGTTAGGGACTCTAACCAGGGTAAGTTGGCAGCGCACATTAGCGAGCATGTGGCATCTGTATATAATTTAAAACGTTGATGAGTGGGTTATAATTATACTATCAAGCCCAAGAAAACCTTTTCTGGTACAAATGCTAACGCATCTTCTTGTGAATATTTTAACATAAAGCCTTCACCGTATCTACGAAACCAACTAATAATATTTTACCGATACAAATTCAGCAACTGTCATTAAAATCACACACAAAAAGGGTTGAATTCAATTACATGCAAATATAAAAAAAAATATAAAAAATTGCAATATAAGAACATTAAAATTACACATAAAATAAGATTTATTAAATAACATATAAATAGATAATAAATTTCATGAAAAAATTACACAATTAGATAATTTAATGACATATATATAAAATTCATGAAAAAAAATCACAATATTATAGGACGTTATGTTCTTACTGATAGGGGATCCCTACTACCAATGTTTACACTAGTGTTATTTAACTTAATTTTCATAATTAGTTTTGTCTTTTTTTCAAGGGGTTTGAGGTATGGTAACATAATAACTGATATAGGGCAATGTGCCTTCAATGGTATGGCAAGTATTCGAGAGTTTAATCTTTAAAAAAAAATTAAACTTGAAACTTGACACTTACTTAGTGTGCCAAATGGCCAATTTAACAGTTTTAACCACTACATTGGGGACAACTTCATATTTCGGTTAGTGCCTCTTAAATTAGGGTTCCCCTATTCAAGGGACACACGTATTTCGTCCCAAACGTGTTCCCTGCTAAGGATTCTACAGTACAAATAAAATCAATAGATTACGGATTCAAAAGTTAATCAGTAATTCACAGTATAATAAAACAAACACTAAATACATAAGACAAATTGTAAACGTTGTTCACTTATATAAATACAGTCAACAAATAACGTCATTGGACGTTTTCTTGTTCATAGCAACCAACATTTCTATTGCAACAGCAATCGTAAAATAGCTCCGTGATTGCGATCGAGTAATTGTTAGGGACTCGAACCAGGGTAAGTTGGCAGCACAGATTAGCAAGCACACGGAGTCAGTATATAATTTAAACGTTGATGAGTGGGTTATAATTTAATTAACTAGCAAAATAAACCGCTTTCTGGTACAAATGCTAAATGCATCTTCTATGTAAATATTTTCATATAAAGAAAGCCTTCACTGTATCTACGAAACCAACTAATAATATTTTACCGATACAGTTATGTACCACAAGACGTGCTGGAAAGGATTCAAAAATTATCAGTCTTATGTTGAGGAAATTGAAGAAATGGTCCATTTTTACTATCAATGTTTACACTAGTGTTATTTGGCTTAATTTTCATAATTAGTTTAACTTTTTTTTTCCAAGGGTTTTGAGTCCTGGTAACATGATAACTGATATAGGGCAAGGTGCCTTCAATGGCTTGGCAAGTCTTCGGGAGTTGTAAGTGACAAATCACAAGTTATGAATATTTACAATTATATATTTATCACTGAAAGCTAATCGTAAATCATTCCACATTGTTTACTATTCAGGTCATTCCAAAACTTATATATTTGGTGTAACAAATATCATTGACAACAACACTCACCGACAACGACGGTAATAACAATACAAATTTACGACAAAAAGAAATCGCTGATAACAACATTCATTGATAAAGCAACAACTATTATAAAAACGACAACGCTCGAAAAAAGACAAGTATGTAAACCAACCAAGGTACAGGCAGCTCCGTATCTGGAACTCTAAATATGTATCGGCGATAGGTTTTCACCTTTGCTCAATGATAATAATTGCTTGATATATATATATATATATTTTTATGTTTTGAAGGGATTTGTCTTCAAAACAAATAACTCATCTAACGGATGGTGCCTTCAATGGTTTGACAAGCCTCGAATCGTTGTAAGTGACAATCCACAAATCCACAAGTTACTTATTTCATCAGCTTCTTCACAATAAAGTATGCATTGCCTGATATTTCATTGTTTATGTTTAAAATAATAATCGTCGACAATAAACAACAATCTAAAAAAAAAGAGATCAATTCATCATATCGACAATACCAGTCATGAACAACAAAATGACCTGATGGAAAACTACGCTCGAAACACCTTTTTTTTTTTTAATTTGGGACCACTAATAGTAAATTATTTTTATTATTTTTTTTTATTATTATTTTTATTATTTTTCTATTATTATTTTTATTATTATTATTTTTATTATTTTTATTATTATTATTTTTATTATTTTTTTAATTATTTTTTTATTATTTTTTTTATTATTTTTTTTAAATTTTTTTAATTATTTTTTAATTATTTTTTAAATATAATATTATAATATTATTATAATATTATAATATAATATTATTATTAATATTATTATTATTAAAATTATTATTAATATTATTATTATTAGTATTATTATTAATATTATTATTAATATTTTTATTAATATTATTATTATTAATATTATAATTAATATTATTATTCTTAATATTATAATTAATATTATTATTAATGATATTATAATAATAATAATTATTATTATTATTAATATTGTAATTAATATTATAATTATTAATATTATAATTATTATTATAATTATTATTATAATTAATATTATAATTATTATTATTAATATAATTAATATTATTATTATAATTATTATTATAATTAATATTATTATTAATATTATTAAGATTATTAATATTATAATTAATATTATTAATATTATTAATATTATTAACATAAATAATATTATTAATATTATTAATATTATTATTATTATTATTATTATTATTATCGGTGGCAAACCACTGATGATAAATGTATTACGTTTTGTTGTGCCAATTCTTTAGCTTGTAATTTCGCAGTAAGGAAACTCATTTTTCTTTCCATGCCTTGGACCAGTTCTTGTAGTGCGGTAACCTCGCTGTTCTGGTTGTTCGGGACACATTTAGTGCAGAGGTGGGGTGTGCGTAATTTGGTTTCTTTCTTCGCTCCCGTTCAAAAATCCGTATTTCGGATAAGACATTTTTAAACGGCATGTTGCATGGTCTCATTGGTGCTATACGGCCAAATACATCGTTGTCTCTTAGTCCGCTCATTAATTGCTGCATGAGCATTCTTTCCTTGTCACACATGGGACCTCGTCCCACTTTCTCTTCTACATCTCGCAACACGGCTTCTAGTTCGATGGCATAAAAACTTGCCAACTCTTTTGGTAGAAGTCCGGTAATGGATCGCCGCTGGTCATGTTTCCAAACTGTTCCTTTAATTCTGCGAATGCTCGTTCGGGTGTTTGACATGGTATCAGGATGTTAAGCACTAGTTTCATGGCATTCCTGCCAAGATTTCTAAAGATTGTAGAAAATTGCATTTTGTGTGGCATGTTACGTCTGCAGCTTAATATGTGTGCACATCCCTAATCCAATCACAAAATGTGTTCTATTTGTGTTCTAAATAGTTTATTTTCGCTTACTAATTATATTGTCTGTTCTTTTTCGTTTTCAAGGAATTTGTATGGTAACAAAATAACAAGTCTGAAAAAGGGTGTCTTCAGTGGTTTGACAAGTCTTCAAAAGTTGTAAGTGACAACAACTGACAAGCTATCAATAATCTGCGATCACAAACGAAGACCATTTAGCAGAATATGTGTAAATAGGCCTACACATTTAACTAAGGAATGCAATCACTTCTAGCTTCCTTAATAATCGTTTTTTGAACATTACGATATCGTTTCTGACTAACCAAATGTAGAATTTCTTTGTAGGCATTACATATTATAAATCAATTACACCAAATGCGTTATCGATCACAAACAAATTATATAGATTACAAACTTAATAATTGAATATACATTGTGATTGATCACATGACGAGTATTAATTACTGAGTATGAAAATCATACCGATTACTGGTTTTATAACAATCGATTCCATATCAAGAATCTATTACTTTACAAACAATTACTTTTACACCATTTATCATTTTCACACGTTACTTATTTCACATAAAATATTATTAATTAAGGTCATATGTTTTATTTACACAATAACGGCGGTTTCTGTTTATTTTCAATACTGTCTTTTTAATAGTTTGTATTTTTTCAGTGTGGAGAGCCACTTTCACTGTTATTTTTACCTTTTTTTTTAATAACATTTTGGCAATCCTGCCTTGCTGAATTACTACCTGCGTTTTTGTATTGTTTTTTGTATGGTATGTTATGTTATAAGGCAAAACAAATGATATGGTATGATAAGCTCTTCTCCTGCATGTACGAGCTAAAGCAGACATGTAATGTAATGCCTAAGTTATGGCCGAATGAATATATTTATGAGGGGGACTGAGTATTTCTGATGGTTTGAGAGAAATTGCAAAGAATATAGCACTCAAGATACCCGAGGATAACACCTTAATACTTAACGAAAGCTTTCCAAAGCACGTTCAGTTGACTATTACCTCAAAACACACACACACCACATAACATTATAATTATTTTATATCATAGGAGGTGGCACAGTTTGAACGTTGGGTGGGCCCAGCAAACTTGTGAACAGAGTGAGGGCTCCTGGTTGTGGGTCCCAAATCCTAAGGCCCTATCAATTTGCGGTTTCATTTTCTTGTAGACTAATTTTGTAATTTTGTTTTAGTGTATAATCTCATAAAATGCTTTCCGACAAAAAAAAATGCTAATCAAAGTACGTGGATACGACTTAGACGATACACAGTATCATATTAATTATAAACCAAGAGCTGTACAAACATCGTTATCAATAACATGAAGAATTTCAAATTCATCATTATGAAAATCATACTGATATACCGATGATCAGTTTCATGATAATTATCGATCCGATACAAAGAATGAATTATTTATAAAAATTAATTTCACACCATTATCATAATATTATTGTCTTACTCCGTTCACCGACATTTCCACACGGTCACGTGCAATCAAACAATAAGGGGTGACTTTCCCAGAAAGCGTCGTATTGTGCAATCAGGTCTAGAGAGGAAGGATAGGCGGCTAAGGTCATCTTTAAACTTTCTAATTATCTGTTCATTATATATATATATATATATATATATACTATAACAGTCATTAATTAATACATGCATACGGTACAATAAACAGGGAGAAAGAAGAATAGCAAAAAGATCCGGAACGGCTTTAACATCTTCTTTTACAGTATATGTATAGTAATTATTTAATGACAAAGACCTACTAACATTACATTTATACGATTCCTTTATTTTATTATTATACAGAAATTTATTTTAAAAAATAGTAAATAAAAAACTATATCAATCAATTTTTAAAACGAATATGCCTACTTATTATTTTGAATTTTATATTAAATAAAATTGTAAATAAAATTACTTAAACGTGAAGACAGTATCCCTTACATAATAAGATTATCTATTTTCAGCATTATCATCAAATTTATATAGCCGGAGCTAGTTTCGAACTAGGCAACCCTTGCTAAAAAGTCTTATTTTGTGAAATATAGGCCTACAGAAACACCATGTTTGCAGCAACTGTACGATCTCGACCCAGCTTAATGATCCTAAATTACTTTTACTTATAAACTAATGATGATGATGATGATAATGATTCAGTTGCTTCAACAATTATAACGTTAATGATAAACACAACGACGCTTATGCCAATGTCGTAAGTTGTTTTTTTTTTTTTTTTTTTTTTTTTTTTACAGATAGTAAGAATTTTTTTTTTTGTCACAGATAGTAAAGATATTGATTTATAATCTCACTAAATGTCCAGTAGACTAGATTCAATAAATGTTAAAGTGGATGTTAGTGTCTCCCGCCCGTTTTAAATGTCTTGATCAAGTATTAATATATTGTAGGGCATTTTTGGTTTAATAGGTTCTATATGCTACATAGGCCAATGATTGTTAGTAGTAAATCACTGTACATTGTGCCATATGTATAATTGTCAATACCTTTTACAATAGAATGGTGAACATAATTATACCAAGTCCGTTATCTCAGGCCCACCGTAGTTAGGGCTGAGGTGAGCAAATTTTATAAATAGGCCTCTCTAGACGCTCGCAATTTGCACTTTCAGATAGTAAAAATGCTTTCTCAAAGCAGTGTTCCTCCTGGACAAATTTATTTTTAACACTGTTAAATTAGGCCTATATATATCTCATCAAACTGTATTTACCTTTCTTTGATGATTTATATATAATTTAACAGTGTTAACAGCTATCTTGATTTATGTATATATATATATATATATATATATATACATATATATATAT